AGGGGAAGCCCTAAACGTCGTCGTCCAGCGGTTCCAGCACCAAAGAAATAAAAAAATCAAGGGGCTTGACATGGCGCGTCGCTGGATGCAAAGTCTTTCTTCATTTTCGTTAGTAAAATTAAACTTCCTAAATCGGTAGCATGTTTTGGTTCAGCAGAATCTTTGTTGACGTGTGCAGGAGGCACAGCTTTGCAGGTTCCGTCCTTCATTCCCTCCTGACCTCGCAGCGAGACATCGACGGTATCTCGACGGCTGTTTGTCGGATCGATACCCTTCGCTGAATGGCCTCGGTCATGCCACACTTCGGACACTGGAGAAGACGCTTTAATTTCCGCCGCGCCCCGCTGGTGCCTGTAGTGGAGGCTTGCTATGGCGCCTTGCTGGATGCTAAAAGCCTGCTTGCATCATTTTGAAAATCAGGCTGTGGGGCAGTGTCACTATCGGTCCCACTATACCTTAACAGACAGGACAGTCTCACTGTTTCTAGCATTTGAGCTGTTCTTTATAAAGTTTTCCTGATTTGTATTCCTATTGCAAATTTCTTGGCATTATAACTCAACTTTTTGAGTGTGTAGTGCTGTCTGCCAGCGGCTCGAGGCCCACTGGACGGATAAGCTCGCGGCCTCCTCGGGAGGGTGCCAGGGTGCCGGACGACAGTCGTCCTGATAGCGGCCCGGTAACACGTCCAGCCGGCATGTAGGTCCCGGCCGCGGCGCTTTCAATTTAAGTCCGCCGGTGTTGCCGCGCGCCGCGAGTTGAATGAACATCGTCGTTAAACTTTAATGAGCCCGATAAAGCCAGGGGTGCGCGCAGCGGCGGCATTCGGCCTCCGGCGCCCGCCCGGCATTAACTTAAGTCGGCGTGGGAAATAATTTGTCTCGCGGCCACGAGATGTCGCTGCGATAGCGCCGCACATATTTTTCTGTCGATACTGCCTTCGGGGGGGGGGGGGGCAGGCCTCGGCCCAGGCCTCAGCCCTGGTGGCGCCCGCCGGTAGCGCGCGGCCAGGCGGCTGCCGGCGGGGTGTCGAGTGCGCCTTGACACGAAGGCATTATTCAAAAAATTGGTCGTGAAGTCAGTGAGAGTGAGTGTGGTCCGAGGAGTGATATACGACCCCGGGGGCCGCTGGCGTGGGCGCTCTGCGGGGGGCGGGCGCGGGGGCCCAGCCCAGAGCGCGCCGCCCACCCCGGCGCCCGGCCCTGCCGGCCGAGCGCGTTTTAAAAGTCGTTCACACCCCGCCACCAGTTTGATTGGTGGCACCAGGGCCGCTGCCCCCGGCTGTGCTCGCTTCCAGACAGAGGCTTGAACATTGAAATGTGGCGCTAGAATGAGTGAAAATAAAGATTATTCGTGGGGCAGCGTTTCTTTTCTTTCCCCGCTGCTGCCTGCTTTTTTATCCCTTTTCTTTTAGCGGTTCCCGTGGCCGTTTTCCCATATCTGATACCCTACCGATGAAGCATGCGCTATATCTGCCGAACTACCCGCGCCCAAGACGGGTTGTGAGTGTGAACCAAGTCGCCCCAACTCCCTCCCAGGCGCGCGTGCGAAGCGTGCGTGCGTGTTGCTGACCTGCCCCAACAGAGCGCGCGGAGCTCAGTATAATGCCCGTGTAATTTGGTTGTGTTGCGGCGCGCACCTCCGCGCAACAGCGGACGACAAGAAATCTATTAGAGCGGGAGACCTTATCGAGATGCCTGCCCTGCGAATGGACTCGACTGGGCCCGGGGGCTGGCCTCAAAAGGGTCAATAGGGGCTGATTCAAAGCTCACCCTTCCTTAGGTTTGGTTGTACAGGTTGTTACAAAGCTCGTCTCTAAGATCGACACAAACCCCTACTCCGAGACCAAGTCCTTCAGTTTGTTCTTAGGCTGCTCAGCCCCACCTAGCGTGTTTTGGTTTTGCGTTACTGTCAGACTCGGCGCAGCGTGGCGCGGCTGACGGGCTGCGTGAGTCTGACTGTGTGCCTTTCACTGCGGCCTTACACGCATTCCGCCCAAGATAATTCCCACCCCCGCTTTCTTGGCCACAGCTAAAATTAGTTAGTCGGAGATAATACTTAAAAGGATGTAGTGTGCCAACACTTTTAGAAGACTGAGAAGGCCGGACATTTTTTACAGATTCTTTTTGTACACCGTGTGCTTTCATGTTTCACTCCATTTTGCAGTGAACAGGCAGTGCATACAGGGAGCATGAATGACACTGCTACCCACGCGCATCACAAAGCCACCCTCACTCCCGAGCGCACACTGCTGTCGTTGACGAGATGTGACACTGCGTAATGGGCGAGACAAGGGCATCCAACACTTTCAGGCTCGCTCGGCTTGCCGTGCGTGTGAATTTGTGAGTGTGTGTCTTTGGGTGCGCATGCGCTATATTTAAAACGTTATCGCTGTTATCACTCGAGGTGCTAGTTAGTCGTAAACAGGACGATGAGTTTAATGTTCTTTAACAGGACATTAAAGTATCGTGATAGGAGAGAAGGTTTTCGTAAAGTGTGCGTAAAAATTGTTTTATATTCTAGTGGGGTGGTTTGACGAGTCTGTTGTATGTGTGTGGTGTGTATACGAAGCACATTTTTCCAGTCATAATATTCCAAATCATTGGTCACGTCACTCCATGACCATTTCCCCCCTGTCATTCACTTTTACCCGGCGGATAGCTCGCTCCCTACCCCCTCTCTCCGCCTCTCTTATTTCACGCCGGCACGCCGGCATCCTCGCCACCCACATGACAGTGGCTGCAGACGGCTGGAGGTCTGGGGCGAGTCCGAGGCGCTGAAGAATGTCGGTAATTAGAAATTCTCACGAGCGGACCGCAAATAGTGGAGCGGCCGCAGAGAGGTCCAGCCTGGCCCCACTCCCCTTCCCCCGAGTGACCGTGTGAGTGGACGAGGAGTTGGAGGAGGGGGCTAACTTGGCGTGAATGACTGTAGCTGGGGAGGAGCGTTCGCAAATAGCGCACAAAGGGTCGCGCTCTGTCTCGGGAGGGGGAAAGCGTTGAATCACAGATGTGACAGCGAGACTTGTACGCCCTACTCCAGCGCCATCCGCCGCCACCCCTCGCACCCTCACAGCCCCACCCACTACACAGGTACATCAACCCCTTCTCATCTCAATCCCCATCCATTCACCCAAGCCCTGGGCCTAATGGCAGAGCTACACACGGTGGCAAAACCTTTTGTTTGCAGAATTGCGCTTCAAATTCCACGGCGCACGCCTTTTGGGTACTTGCTGTTGAGAGAAACCATCCGTATTCGCTGTCTCATCTCTCGCTCCTGTGTCGTATCGTTCTCCCTCTAATGGTTTGGAATGATAACTCCAAAGAGTGCTATCTGCAATTCATCGTGTCACTGAATACCTCCCGGAACCAGCGGCTGTAGAGTCGCCTCATTAAAATTTTGTTTTCTTTCTTTCGCAATCCCTGTTTCCAAGTCTCTCCGATAATTGGAGTATCCGACCTTGCGATCAGCGGTCTGCCAGGTGTTCGCAACGCTGCATTGGGGGAAATCGACATGTCAGAAGCAGCAGTCATCTCCCACTTCACCGTCACTGGTTATTTCAATTTGAACTGGAACAGCTGACGCGATTTTCAGATCGAGGACTTTCACTTTTTTAGTAAATATTTTTGTGATATTAAAGCAGGTGGAAATTAAATGTAAAACTTTACTTGGAATGGGAATTATTCTCTGAGATACATGTCGCGACGATCACGGGCTATCATGGTCAAATCTGATATCAGATTCTTATCGAAATATTTTGCTTTTGTTTTATTGATAAATTTCAGCTCGGCTCAAACTGTGTGTACTTTGGACCAGCGTCCAAATTTTCTGGGTTTTCAAAATCCGTGGAGGTTCTTCTATTTACTCGTTTGTTGCTTAACGCACGCGAAGAAGCTTCCCCAGAAGTTTCGTCGACCACTATAAAGCGAGACGCGTCAGCATCATCTACCCCGCTCGCGCGCCCGTGCGGCCGCGCGCGCTTCGCCGGCTAGGCCCGCACTGCTCCATCTTGGTGTTTGCAAAAAGCGCGCTCTCTGAGCATTATTACGGGGCGCCTCGCACAGAGCGGGCTACGCGGTGGTTATCATTAGAACGGGTTCCTCTCCGAGTCGATGATACACAGCGGGACCTTGAGGCATATTAGGGCGCGGCGTGCGCGGCCGTGCGCAGCCGTTAGCGGTGCGCGCTGCGGAGCGAGTTCCCCAACACGGACCTAGGAAACGCCCTATAATTGTGATTGTTGCCGAGACTTTCCCGCTCCTCACCCCGCCTCGTCCGGGCCGGGCCTCCAGTTTACAGAGGAAAGTTTGTGCAAGTTGGTTGAGGCAGCGCGGCGGGGTGCTGCTGCTGCTGCCGAGGGGTTCCGGTGCAAGCCAGCGGGCCAGGCGGGGACCCGCCGAGCACCTGGGAGCCTCTGGGACCCACTGAATGCTTCCCGCTGCATGCTGCGCGGACCCACCGGTCAGGAAGCCAGCGAGTACTGTGGCTCCCGGTGCTACACAGAAGCCAGCGAGGCTGGCGCAGCGGGCGCTACCAACCCACTGCACGCAACAATTTCTAAATTTAGAGCCCTTTTTGACTCACCCTTTTCGAATTAATCATCAACACAAATAGCAGATGTTTCGTGATGATCTCGACGCACTGCGAGCGACTCAAGGCACACTGTTTGGGTAATAGCGACTTCTCACACCGTCATTCGTATTCAATCATTCGAATGAAAGATGCGGCTCATGCTCTCCCGCAGCACCAGTACAAAAATGTTAACGTGAAAATAGCGTAGTTGTCTTGCATTTGTAGGGGCATGACAAATCCTCTGCTTAGGGGAGACTTATGAGTCTCAATCTCAACAGGGCGTTAAAATAGTTCCAATGGCCACATTAAAATTTTGGCCAACTCTAGTATAGTTTAATACCATTGTTTACTTAACGCAGTGAACTCACTGCCCTTCTATACACTGCTGAAATATTCCGTGGAGTTGACCGAGCGTATTTTGTCTGTTGCAGCTTGGACGTGCGTGGTAAGCCGCTGGAGGAGGCCAAGCACACGTCCACTTCGGAGGGCTTCGGGACGCGAGCCTACTTCCGCACCATCTCGGAGACGGCCCAGCTCGTTGTGAACGACATCCGGAGGCACGACGAGGGCGTGTACCGCTGTCGGGTTGACTTCCGGCACTCGGCGTCGCGCTCCTTCCGGTACAACCTCACCGTCATAGGTGAGAACTCTTGTGGGGGTGACAGTCCCTGAAAGAGCCATAACGCGCCTTAACGCCCTTCTGTTCCTAATGCCGTCTGCCCCGCCCGGCACATGGGGACGATGCGCACCCGCCGAGACGCTGGTGCGCCTTTAGCGTGGCTTGGCGTTTAGAACTTTCCCAGTGTGTGAGGGACTACAATAGGATCAGAGCCACTGTTAAAAAAAAGTCACGGTGCATTACCAATTTGAATATACCATTGAATATACCATTTTGGTCAAACAGTAGCCTTACCCTGACCGTGTAAGACCTTGAAAGATCAGGTATGAGGCTGGCAACGCCTAGAAAACGGTTTCATTGACTCGACTAGGGAAATGATTCTCTTCGAGAGAATTATTTATAATTTCGACTATCCAGCGATCCATTCAAAGAAAATATCTTAAATCTCTTAAAATTGATAATAAACAAATAAATTTTCATCGAAAACTTGGTTTGATACAAATACTTAGTCAATCATTCAATATTGAACTTCGTTGAATCAAAGAAACTATGTAGTGTACAAGTGCCACTCATTAACCGTACTTCAAATTATCATGATGCGTCAAGTACGGTCAAACGAGGCAAGTGTTTTTAACTGTAAATAGGGTGCAGCCTTTTTTTCAGCGAATGGAGAGAGGGATAAAGGGGAGAGAGAGAGAGAGAGAGAGAGAGAGAGAGAGAGTGGGGAGAGGCTTGTGGGAGGCACAGAATTTTAGAGGGAGGGGATGAGGGGTGCAGGGAAATGAGTCATTCGTAGACACGTCACATCCATCTCTCTATCTGTGCGCGACTCAGCCCTTTACGAGCTCTGCTCTGCGCGACATGCCACTGCGGGGAGAGCGAGCACGAAAAACTCGTTTCTCGTAATTTGTATGACCTTGAAACGCAGGCCTAGTACAGGAGGGCCCGGGGCCCGCACAGCGGGTATTACGTCCGCCAAGACATACAACAACAACAGCAATAGTTACATGGTCTTCTGCATTATATTGCCCTTGTGGGGCTAATGTTTCCTGTGCTCGGGCGCGCCGTGGCTGGCTGTGTATTTAGTGAGTAGTTGTGTGTGCGCGTACGTGGGGGTGGGGGAGGTAATACTGCTACTTGCGGGGCTCCGTACACCTTGTTTAGTTTGGTGAGTCAATATTTCCTGTTATTGTATTTGCCTCCGACACATGTACGCGGGAAATAAAGTCGGGCAAAATACGTGTCTGACTTCTGTAATAATGATAGCGAAATGTGGTACGCTGTTCCTGCTGCTGTAAATATTCCAAGACTGTCCAGTGTTTCAAAGGGAAACTTTTTCATTGGAAAGCAAAGTTTCTCTTTTGCGTTTGTTTGGAACAGATTTGTCGGGTGGCCCATTTATTTAGTGTTCCTAGTAAAATAAAAAGTTCAAATAGAACATTGATCACCAGTTCAGAATTTAAATGGGAGAATGTTGATTGTTGGGATTTTTTATAACGAAATTATAATTATAGAATTAAAAAACAACCTTATTAAAAGAACGTTCAGTGCTGCGTGAGCTCATATTGTCACGCTCCTATGTTAAATAATAAGCACCAAATATGATCCGCACTGAACGTGCTATTACATAGTACAGTGCAAACTAGGTGCTGTAAGCGTAGTTTCCTTTCCAAAAAAACATTTACAGCGATACATTGGTTTGGCCAGCTACTCTCAATATAACTAGGTAGCGTTGCCGCTTGTTCCCGTTAGACTGATGTGGCGTGTCTCTTGTTGCAGTGCCGCCGGAGCCGCCCGCCGTGCTGGACCACCGGGGCCGCCAGCTCAACTCCACCGTGGGCCCGCACCGCGAGGGTGACAACATCTCGCTCACCTGCCGCGTCGTCGGAGGTAAGTAGGCCGCCTGTCTACTTGAATTATTGCCATGCGAGCGCCATTGTTCCAACCGATATTTATGTCGTGAGGCCGACGCTTTCGCTCTTCGCTACCTCCCTTTGTCCTCCCTCTCTCTGTCTGTTTACCCTTCTGTCAGCTCCCCTCCCGTCTCTTCTCTCGTGCGTGCCCGCCCGTCCGCCGCCGCACGTCGGCCAGGGTGTCTGATGTCGGCCCTGCCCCTCTCTTGGGGCTCTCGCGGTCCCGCCTCCTGCCATCTCCAGCTCCCACTCCCCCCTCTCCCCGCCCCCAGTCACTTTTTGCCCGCTGTTTGCTGTCTGTCCATGTTGTTTGCAGGACAGTAGCGCAAGGGTGGGTGCCTACCGCCGGGGCAACGTGATGCGAAGGCTGTTGCTGTAGCTCCTGGCCCGAGTGCCCCTGCTGCGGCTTCCTAACTTGCCTGTAAATACCCCAGTCCTCCAGTGTTCCCCATCTGCAACATACCTACCCCAGCTGCATCCCCAGTTCGCTCCAGCTGAAGCCGCATTTTTCCAGCTCCTCTTCGCCAACCCGCGCCAGTTTCACTAACTGACTGCTGTGAGCGCATTCGCCCCCCCTCCCCCTTTTCCCCCTCACCGACCGGTCCGCTTCGTGTGTTTATTTGCCCCTGTCACCTGCCAGCCCGCCAGACCAGTTATTAGCTGGCAGACTTGTAAAGCCACTTTTCATTATACTGCAGCCCTGACGGAATATACAAACAATCGGGACTATTCTTTTGTCTGTGGGGTAGGGAATCAGTTTGTGGGTCAAGGGTGCGCCGGGCCCTGCGCCCTCAGCGCGTAGCGGGTCACGTAGTGCTGGGCGGGCGGACACACGGCCCTGTCCTGCAGATCCCTCTGCTGCCCGAGGAGGGCACGTTCTCAATTTGATAACACTAACGCCGGCCGAGCGAAGCATTTGGGTCAACAAAAGAGCAAACGGGGTGGGCGGCGGTCGCGCGCCGTTCGCTCGAGTAGTTTGTTTGGAAAAATTGTAATATTTGACCAGTGGTTTTCCCTCGAATTTCCTCGTGCTTTAACCATGTTATAGTACATGTAATATATATCATATGTCATACAAAGCTCTATATCTATTTTTCAAAAGTTTGTTCTAGTTCACAAAAAGTATTTCATAACACCTCTCAAAATCCAACAGAAGCGAACAGAAGTCCTCACCGTTCACGTGGTAGAATTTGATTCCTACTGTTGGAACAATGGGAATTCGCATCGGCAGTTGGACATCCCCAATATGATAACAGAGCACGCAAGAGGGAGAATTAAGCTCTACTTTTCATCTACTCAGACATCCCTACTTTAATTTTTTTATATGGGTCCACCCATAAAAACCACGTGGACACATTTTTGACGCCCCCCCTCCCCCCCCCCCCCCCTTGTTAACATTCGTGGAATTTTTTCGAATTCCTCACTGTAACTTGCTTTGAGACAACAGGTTCGTAATGCAAACTGAAACAGTCGTAGCTTATGAAGGATTTTGAAGCGTTGTATTGTGAACTAATTATTCGTAAGCTCACGAACCAATAGGTCGTAATGCAAACTGATTGTTCGCATGAACCTTCTTAGCCTTACAAACATTTTATTTGCAATATGAAGAATGAAAATTGTTATTTACGTTGTAAAAGCATTTAATTCGTAAGCATTGCACAGTCACTAGAAATGCAAGTGTGTGAAAGTCGCTCACCTGCAGGTGTGTGAGTATCCATCCGTACACTTAGGGGGGTGAACGTGTGAATTTTCTAGGAAAAAATCACACTTGCTGGTGAGTGACATTCACACACTGGCATTTCCAGTGGCTCCCGCCCTTTTCCCGCTTTGTCCACGTTGATTACTCATTCTGCATTAGAACGGCGAAATTTGCTTAGATTGGCAGTTTAATCATTCGAGTATTGCACAATTGCGATGCGCGAACTGTGTACGTGGAACGTGGCAATCATCCCCCCCCC